TATACTAATGTACTACAACATGTAAATACTAATGTATACAAACATATATATATATATATATATATATATATATATATATATATATATATATATATATATATATATATATATATATATATAAACATATTTAATAGTACACATAGAACAAGAGAGAATGACGAGTATAATAATTTAGACGAGAACAATGAGTAGTTCGTTAATATATCTAGAAACTAGATAATCAGCCATACGCTCAGCATAACAGTAATTTACACGAGCAGCTACTATTGGTACGAAGGCGCTTCCGAGCGATCAAGATATGTTTCTGATTTAAGGTAAAAAAATTTACAAACAGGTATATGTAATTATTTATTTATTTAAACTAATATTCACACTAAAATTCTGTTATCATTTGGCGTACTTAATACCGGACGGTGTTCTCTACCAGTCAACTATTGGGTAAAACGAGAAATAAGTAGGCGTGCATTATTGAATAGAGGAAAAATAATGTAATACTTGATATATTCATGTAATATAAAAATACATATAATTAGACTAAATTGCACATAATATATTAAATAAATTATGACATACACAAATTATATATACTTTCTCTTTATTAAGTGGCAAACACTTATTCATGTTATAAACCAACTATATCCCGCGGCTCCACATTTGTGAATCAGTCCATAATATATCCTATGTGCTAAGTTAGGTTACAGTCTACCCGCATGCCAAATTTTATTCAAATCCGTTTAGTAGTTTTTGCATGAAAAAATAACAAACGTCCCCTCATCCGTCTATCCATCGCTAAAAACTTTCGCATTTATTATCGAAATCTAGTTATTAAATCATTATCATCATATCGGCCTTTAACTGTCCACTCCTGAACATAAGTCTCCCGCTTGGGGATTTTGCCAGTAGTTGCCACGCTCGGCAGGCGGCTTGGCAACCGCAGTTAGGCTATAATTTTTTTTAGTCTTAAGCCCGGATATTAATTTCCAGGTTTGCTACACAATATACTTTCATACACAGGGAATTATGCACTTATGTATTGGCTTATCTTTTACATTATTATCACCTAATTCTAGTTATTTTTATTACTAGTTTATTACTAATACCGCATTTAGGCTTTTGAAATGTTTTAAGAGGGATGCTACGGGAAAGGAACCCTGCCGATGCTATGCCAAAACCATACGGCGAAATTTAGTACACAAATACTATATAGGATGTAGGACATACTGTTATCCCGGTCAAGAAACAAATCCAGGTAACACAAACGAAGTCGCATGTAAGAACTAGTTAAAAATATAATTCTCATAATTTCCAAAACGTTAACTAAATAGTTGATAGATCATACCTTTACCAACGTACAAATTTCTAGTTTGCGTAATCGGATGTATACAAAGGCCCTTTGATCACAAAATGCGTACAGATGTTGCCAGGAGTGCTGACCTGTCTACTAATGAACAAAGGACGGCTTCACTCTGATCAATGTTATCTATTATTACAGTCTATTATTAGAACGTACCTGCCAGCTGTAAACCTTGTTTTCCATTATAAATTATATAAAAAAGCACGACCTTATCCACATTAATTAGGATTTGAAATATTGAAGATTGCGATAGGACGGAAGCGTCATGAACTAATGATACGCTACCTCGATTTATAAACCCCACAGACATAACGAATTAGGTCGACACCAAAAATTTTTAAGTTCCTACTAATTCTCCGGTTCAAAAAACACTGTCAACAAATCAAATTAATCCAAATGACTACTCTGCTACATAGGATTCCCAACAGTAATAGAGAACAAATGTTTCTGGCTGGGTGGAGAGAGATTGTTAACTGAATCTAGGGGGGAAAGGAATTGTTAGTAATCGAGACTGAGAATCCCATTGCTAGCAATATACCCAACCAGGGCGACCTCCTCGCGGTTCCTCCTGGAAACTATCATGGTTAATTCCTGATGAATTCATCATGATGGGCTAACTGGCCTATTTTCATTCTCATCTATCACCCTTCACTGGTGCTCCGCCAGCGTATCCCGTTAGAGCAGACGGGGTTACCATACCATTTTCACCCATCAAAAAGAATAACTGAATCTAACAGCCCTCCCTATCAAGTTAACCTCTACGCGGTTCCCTTAAAAACCATCTTGGTTAATTATTATTGTTGAATTCATGACAATGACCTAACCGACCTGTTCAACATCACCTATCGGCCCTCACTGGTGCTCCGCCAGCGTGTACTGCTAGTCTAAACGAGATTCCTATTTCATTCATACCTATTAAAAAAATTCTTCTGGCTAATGGAGATGTTAGAGATTACATTCAGAAACAATTTTTTTCTTTTTTATGCAACTTAGAATGGCAAACAAGCTGACGGCTCACCTGAAGGAAAATGGTAGCCGTCGCTTATAGACATATGCAGTACCATATATATAACAGAGTACACAGTTTCGCCAGTGATACTCCCCATGCGTTGCCATTTCTGAGGACTCAGGTGTTATTCCTCTGTACCCTGTAAATTTACTGCTATATCCCACCCTTCAAACCGAAACACAGCCATGCAAACACTTAACAGTAGAAACATGAATGGGATAAAGAAAAACATATTTATGTAGTCTGTGTACCTAATTTAAGAAGTATTGAGAAGTATGATTGAATAACAAACATTTAAATTTTAAATATTCATTCAAATATCATAAACTTTCACATTTATATTGGTAGATTTCGAAGTCAAGGAACCTGAACATAAACCTGTTCGAAGAGGAAAATATTAAAGCAAGAAATTAAAAAACTTCGTATAACAACTTCTGTAAGCAGGAAGGTTTCGTTTTTCTAAATTCAGCTAAATTATTTCTTTTTTAGCCGTGTGTAGGTATGAAAAGCCGACTTTTGCTAGTCAGATAAGTTAGAAGTTTGAATAGTTATTGTTCTATAATATTATTTATAGTACATTAGTGCAGCGGCCAGCAACTGAGGCATTGATGAACGAACGTGCAAATGTAGGCCGAACGTAGCCGAGGCACACATACGTGAGTCCATCAATGCCTAGTTGTGGCCAAAACTAATATAGTACTCTTCTCAAACAATAGTAATTTTACTTTTTAAGTTCAATGACGAATAACGAACAATAATAATTTTTCACGTGCCATAATGTTCCTTTGTTTTTTTTTTCCAATAAACAGCTTTCTATTTGCAAGCCAGTTCAAAATTTAAATAAATCCTTTTATTAGTTATCTCCTTGGTAGCCATATTTCGAAGTAAAAGGTCATTCCATTTTAAATTACAGAACAGATATGAGTTTACATAGTAATTTATCTGGCCGCAAAACACGACAGATATGGATTTTCATACAACTTTTGTCGGCCGCTGCCCGCATGTATCTGGTCAGTACAGCAATTTTGATTTATCTCTAAGAAGATTGTCAAAATAATGCTCACATTTCCAAGCATGTTTGAGAAAAAATATTTATTACGATGCCAATAAACTTAATGGTATGTTACAACAACATTCAATGATGAGGCTTTTCAAACTGAACTACGTTCACCGAGGAAAAGGGGAAGAAATGTAAAAATAAGCAAATGACGCAAAGCAAATAATGTGACAAACTTTTATGAAAAATTCAAAATTATTTTTATATAACTTAGCTTTTAGGGGTTTTACATTCAGAATCCTATATTCTATTTAACTTGATACGCCCATTACTTCTAACTTTAATTAATGGACTTAAATTTATCATAAAAATATAACCAGCGCAGCTCGTTAGCTATCGATAATTCAGTGTTCAATGTAGGTACAAAGTCCTATGAGCGATCACCGGAATAAATCGCACCTATTCGAGCCTCGAGTAAACCGCTGATTGCAATACGATGTCCCCCTTCGAATTTGCCTGGTGGCACACAGTAATTTATCACTTAGCTATAGGACAGTGTCAGAACTGAATATGCTAATATATCCTATAATATATTACACTAGCACTACCACGAGGCGGTTGTGAACACGATTTAGAATATAAAGAAACTTAGAGAATCTGACAACATTTTATTAAAATTTTTGCCATCAAATGGACAGAACCAATTCTACCAAAAACATTTAAAACCGTTCAACATCTAGGAATTAAATATAATATATTATTTAATATAATTAAATTTAAATTTAATAAAATATAAATAGAGCCTATAAGAAGTTCCGCATGAATAGATGTTCTCACTGGAGAACATACTCTCTTGTTATTATTTGTAAATAACACATCTCGCTCATAGTCCTTGACTACGACCAGATAAAACTGGAAAGAAAAGATAATTTGGGCAAAGAAAACCTTTTTAAACTGCAAACAATAATAAACAAACTGAAACCTGTTGCCTACCAAACAAAAAGTAGGCATGGACTCAGTAAATACAATGGATTCAATGAACATATTTTTGTATAACATAAATACTGCACTTCAGACTGAAATTTTACAGCGCACAGATTTTTCAATAGTGGAAATTGAGAGGACTGCAATATTACCCAATTGAATCACATAAACTGCTATCACAAATAGGTATATGTTTATTCAAGTACCACTACAACTCGTGTGAGGATGGTGCCCTCTAATACCAATTTCTAGGTCACATTCGAACACACGAAGGCCTCTGCTATCAGAGCCCTTCCTTTACAAGGTTACTCAAGCTACAGAGCTTACCGATCGTCGGCATTATGCCCTCTAAGAAATAGAAGGCAAATAACAATCTTTTTTAATTTAGTAGAGAGAAAAGAGATTTTAAAAAATTTAAGCTTTCTTCTCGGAGCGGAGTAAACTGTTGTCTAACCGAGCTAAGTTATCAGACTTGGCCTAGTCCAATTTTCAATTTCTTTTCCCAAAAACCTTAATCGGACTACTACGAATATTGTCAAATCAACTGTTCGCCGGTGATACGCTGACCAACGAACAATAATTTTAATAATTTTTATTTAGATAATTTATATATTTAAGTTAATGATAAATATAACAATTCAAAAATTTTCACTTACTCGTTGCCTCTCCTGAGAGATGACAGGATCTTTCAATCGTATATATCCGTATATTAAACTGGTAAAATACAGGCAATTTGATATTAAAAATATACCATAATAGCCAATTTTTTGCAACAATATACCACTCAAAGACATTCCGATGGGTATACCAAGGGACATACACAAGTTGGCCACTCCCACTCTGAATGTCCTCATTTCTTTGGTTGTTACGTCACCTATATAACTGAATACACCAACGCATACAGTTATCCATCCTCCAGTTAACGACGGAAATAGGTCTGAGAGGGCCGTGACCTCCAGAGGCAATTCGTAGAAGAAATATGTGTTCAGGATGAAGCTTGTGCAACACAACACTTCCCCTACAATCGGTAGCAGTATACATGCTTTTCTTTTCCCGGTTTTATCGCTCCATGAGCCGACAAATAAGACCAGTATGCACGGGAATGCAGTCTGAACAATGTTTTTCCAAGCCTGAACTGAAGCTGTCAGTTTTTGAACCTCGGCTTCTTCTGTCGTGTAATTCTCTGTCTGCCGCCTATTTAAAGCGGAACAAACTTCGTCACTATATCCCAAATTGACTCGACAAGCCTTCTCCAAATTTAAATTCTGAACTGCCAATCCTGAGAACACATTTGACATTATATAACACGCTATGATCGGTTCAACGGTTATGTTCGACTTGATCAACAGCAGCTTTTGTAGAATGCCTGATCTTTTTGTTTTTGTTTCATCTTTCGCTCGTAACTCCCCGTCTGTGGTTGGTTTTTCAACCGTCGAGCTGATACCGTTCATGTTGTCCGAAATCGTTTGAGCACTGTTAAAGTTCAATCAATCATGTTTACTATGATCCTTATTTTGTGGATGTTCGAAAATCCATTGTAGAATCATTTAGCGGTGTAATATCGTTCTCTCCTGTGCCCGTCACTCGATAACATTTCACTGGATTGTTTACGACACTGCACAATTCCCACGGCTCTATTCAAGAGAACACGCTGGCAGAACAATAGTATCGCAAGCCAGAGAGCAGACTGAAGGATCCTGTTGTCTTAAGAGTTGATTGGACGGATACGCGTTCGAGTGGTATCATTAAACGCAATTGGTTGGGCGTAGTGTGAGCTCGATGGAGTGCGGAGCCCGCAGGACTGGCGCGGTCGGAGCGTCACAACCTTGCAATAAGCAGGCGTTTATTCCATTAGAGCAATGCCTGCTATTACGTGAAACAGTGGGTACATACCGCGCTATGATTAGTACACGGTCAAGGTACGCTTTAGGACTGAATAAAAAATGGTCTGATTTTAGAATTATTATTTTTTAAATAGTGCTTCATTTTGGACGAGGATCTGCATCTAAACACTTTAATTAGACGCTGATCGCTGCATTATTCATGTTAATCTATCCGAAGTACGATTGTAGTGAAATACGAATACCCTTGAGAAAAAATATTGTTTGCTCTTTTTATTGCAAATTCTAAAGGATTACATTGATTGCGGCCACTAACACTGTTGCTTGCATTATATATTTCTGCTCTTAGATTCTGTCATTATTATCATAATCTTAATAAATACAAAAAGGCAAAGAAGCACTTCTTACATCATAGTTATTGTTACTAGAAATATTACGATTTTCACCATTCGTAACTCGACTTTTTCCTTTCTCGCTGGCATTTCCAAAAGACCTTTTCAAGCGAAGACCATTTCTGGAGATTTCACGATTACCCAATGGTCCCTTTTATTATTTATCATCCCATCGCATAATTTTATCGTTATAATATAATAGGACAATAAAATGTATGCAATTACATGGAGATACATTTAATTTCTATCGAAGTTATGCACGAAGATATGGCGAAGAAAAATTTAATAAAATTTTGCATACTGATAGATACCTATATCTATATTCCATTATTTAGATACCAATATCTTCTTTCCTTTTTTTTTAAATATTATATAATTTATATATCATTATCGACGCTTACAAGGTCAAGGAAAATAGCTAGTATAATAAAAAATAAAAGAATACATATTCCAGTTTACGCAGTCAGTTATTTATGTCCAGGAAACGACCCGGTCGATCCTACAATTTGAATCGCCACTTGGTACATATGGATTCAATATCTTCTTCTGAAAATATACGATTTCAAATATTTCCAGGAAAGAAATGAGAAGAATCTATGCTTTAGGAATACGTAGAGTTTTCGATGTCGTTCCGATTTAATCGGAGTGTTTCAATCCAAAACATAGTTTTTTTTTTATGCAACTTAGAATGGTAAACAAACTGACGGCCCACCTGATGGAAAGTGGCAACCGTCGCCTATAGACATAAGTATAACAGAGTAGACTACGGACATACCAGAGTATCCTGTACATTCGCTGTCATATCCTTCAAACTGAAACACAGCCATGCAAACATTATTTTTTATGGAATTCGTCATACTGTCATACTCACTCATCATCACCTTATGCCGATAACGCAGACGGGGTTATCAATACATTATCATCCATTTAAAAAAAAATATACAAATATCATGAACATCTATTGAAACAAATCCTTTCCAAAAATTGCCAAAAGTACATACATATTTGTAAAAGAAACATAAAACAACATAGCACACAGTATTTCTTGAAAAGATAAAACACAACTCACGCAAATAATACAATATTATTCTTACAAAAACGGTTCCTTACTCGTATGTTTGTATAAAGCAAAATGTTTAAGGAAAATATTATGAAATACTGATACGAATTTTTCCGTCCATCCCAAATGTTTGTATCGATTGCATGTTACAATCAAACAAGTTATTTGCCGAAGATTATTTAAAAGAATAAGTAGATGGCGTAAATTTGTATATATATATATATATATATATATATATATATATATATATATATATATATATATATATATACTACTTATTTTTATTTTTAAGTAACAATTCAGTTCACTTGAAAAGGTTTGCTGGAAGAAATCTCTTATTAGAGATAAGCTCGCCTTTGTATATTACGTTTAAAATTAATTGTTCTTAACATTATGTTTGTGTACAATAAAGAATTTAGAATATATAATTTTCATCGGTTATTTAATTATAATTATTTTGCTTAATTCCGCTATCATTTTATTCAAACACGTTTTGCGACACGTGTCACCTCTAAACGAAGCATCTTCACACAAATTATTAGATGGCTGCTCGAAGCCTAGGATAACGGTGCGACGCCCAAACTGTAAATTTTCGCAGTTTGAGCACAAACAAAATGGAAATCGGAGATTGATGATTAAAATGGATAATTGTGGAACTTCTAGTAGTAATATAGTCAATCTTCGAGTGTTGGCAGTCACACACATACTAATGATAGCGGAAGTAAATTAAATAATTCTAATCAAATAAGGAGTGATATAGACTTCCGCAAAATAAAACCTAGTGCAGTAAAAAAGGAGTTATTCAATCCGGTTGTATTTATTTTTATGTTTGTTACCTCTTAACTCCGTAAACCGATTTGGATTTTTTTTGTCTGAAAGGATATACTTACAGATTGGATCCATAGAAATTTTATCTAACTCTATTCAGTAGTTTAGTTTTTAGATCATTATAACTGGTTTTGACACAACCAGAGGGAGACTTTGTACAAAAGTCGTTTGCTTGGATTGTTTTGCACCTCTCTCCCATTCGTGTTTCTACCGTGACGCAGTTGTTTGCATGGATGTGTTTCGGTTTGAAGGGTGGGATATGGCGTGAATTTACAGGGTACAGAGGAATAACGCCAGAGTCCTCAGGAATGGCAACGCATGCCCCCCATGCGTCATATCATGGGCGAAACTCTGTTAAGTCCATGGTACTGCACATGTCTATAGGCGACGGCTACCACTTTCCTTCAGGTGGATTGTCAGCTTGTTTGCCACTCTAAGTTGTATAAAATAAAAACGTGTCTTAGCGTCAAGATAACTGACATAGATTTTTTTTAATTACAATATTTTCGTTATATTCCCATCTTATGTTTATTTTGGAAAAAATATGAACTTTCATTGGAAGTACTCCAAACAATATTAATGATTATTTGAATTTCAAGCTGCACTGTCCTCATGTAGCCTATTATCCCACAATTTCGGTGACCTCCGCAGCATAATAATAGGCGTATTACTTTGTATAAATAACGGCCCGGGTTCTGTTCACCATCGGGTCAATTTAGAAAATGAACTTTCATTGACTAGCTCAGGTATGGGTGTTCTGGGATGTGCTCTGGATGTTCATTACCTGGTATCTAATAACACATGGTACTTGAGTACCAGGAGATTGTGTAATTATGATCGATTTATTATCATCATCATCATCATCATATCAGCCATTATCTGTCCACACCTAAACATGAGCCTTCTCCATAAATTGGAAGGTTTTTCCAGTAGTTACCATGCTTGGTAGGCGGATTGGTAACCGCAATTAAACTTTTGGCGGTGTTTTAAGAAGGACGCTGCTCCTGATTTCTCAACCCTTAAGTTCGCTTAGTCGTCTCTTACGTCACCCACGGGAAAGGAAGGTGTGGCCCATACTATGTCGGGACCACACGGCGATTTATTATTACAATTAAGACAAATCTAATAACACTCCATTTATTGAAATCCATCGAACTGTTTAAACTAAACGTTCCGTCAAAGATCAAAGACAATACACCTGAAAAACACCACCCTCCATTCTTCGACAGTCGGTAGAAAAGGAAAAAACAGTCGTGTTAAAGATAATTCGTTTTGTTGGGCGTCGAACCGTCGCTACTTTGGGGTACAAATGTCTTCCAATAGAATAGAGGTAAGTAATAAACGGGCAGCAAGGAAACATTACTCAATATGAATGGTTTCCTCTGTTAGGCCCTTGCCAAAACTATTGGTTAACTACTTACGGCTCGGCGAACGATGAGGTTGAATTAGTGGGCCACGACACAGACTTATAGTTTGGGTAACAAGAAAGCAATGTCTGTACCTGATACTGTATCGCAATTTTGACTTTATATTTTATTATCTAACAGTTTTACCCGATATTTGGACGGACATATGACCGGGATATATTAGATAGATTATTTATTCACTATTAATTGACCAACATAAAATTTAACCTATATACTTCATCTCAAAACCGTTAAAAGGCAAGGGGGTAAAAGAACTTTTCAACACGTGAATTACGTTAACACGTTATAAATGGATGTTTATTACTCTTTCATGCAAAATCTACTGAATGGATTTGAAGGTTATATCCTAACTGAGCACATACGATACTTTATATATTGATTTACGCAGGTGAAGTCGCGGGATACAGCTAGGATAATATAAAGAAAAATTACATGCCAGATTTGATTGAGATATTTTTAAAAACTAGAGATATATGTGAACAAACGTAAAAAAAAATAATTTGGAAAAAAATTCCAGTTCTATTTCAGTCAATATTACCACCTACTCTAGAAATATATATATATATATATATATTAAGAGCAGGTTATTATTTATAGCTAGGTATATACGCAGCTTTGCCCGTGTGAATAAGTGCGTAAACTATGTGCTAATTTAGTATATATTCTACCCGTACACCAGGTTGGAAGGGATTGTTAGTAATGGGACTATAACAGCTTTATTGCTAGCAATATACCCCATCGGGTCGACCTCCACGCGGGTCACCCTGGAAACCATTGTGATTGATTCTTATAGAGTTCGTCACGATGGACTAACTGACCTGCTTTCATTCTCATATTTATCATCTCTCCCTGGTGCCGCGCCAACGGATACCGATAGCGCCAGCCGGGCTACCATTTCATGTTCACCCATTAAAAAAACCCGTACACTAAATTGCATTTAAATCCGTACAGTAGTTTTTGCGTAAAAAAGTCATAAACATCCATTCTTTCATTCATCCATTACGAACTTTTTATACACAGATATAAAAATACATCTTCCTACAGAAATTATTTCGTCCTAACCATTTCAAAAACTAGTCGATTTGGAACCATTAATCGATCTCGTTTCGAAGTTGGACTACAACAACCAAACTATTTGTCCCACGTGATGTACTCATCTGAAACTTCGTGAACAATGCTTGCTATTGTGCCATTGTATCATAATATCATCGACAAATAAATGATACATCATTTACTTGGTCCCCATTTACATTTATAT